CCTAATGGACTGAAGAGACTTTCCTTTCCCTGTTGCTCTTCCGGAGTACTACGTGCACTGCTCAGTCAATCCCCTGGAATACAGGGCAATCAATGCTGGAAGGGGTATGTTCTCTACATTGATCAAAGTTTGGTTTTGATTCTTCATTTCTACTTAGTAATTAAAAAAGGAGGGAGGGACTAGTTTTTTGGCAGTAGATATCTGGCGCCTGGTATAAGGGCGAAGAGGTTTCCTCCCCCCCCTTAACTACCTGCACAGTCAATCCTTTGGATACCAGAGTAATCAATGCTGGCAGGTTTCACAGTCAACTTCCTGTATTCATTTTGTATTCATTCTGTATTCATTATGTAAAGGGACGCTGGACCCGTTTTCCAGCAGATGATGCTCCCCACCAATAGACGGAGCCTCTCCCCGGGTGCTAGTGGTGTCTGATCTTATCAGTACCACTAGCACCACCGGGGGGGGTGTTTATTTAAAAAGAAAAAAAAAAGAAAAAAAAAAAGGAAGGTAACCAAGACAATGTTCCCCCCCCTCCCTTCCCCCCCTTCCGCCCCTTATAGATCAAGCAGGCTTTATTTTAGGTAGGTTCATTCCGGAAAATGTTTATCACACTAATAGGATCTGTCCGGTATACTAACAGCAAAAAATGAATGCAGCTATTTTATTCTGTGACTTTGAAAAAGCTTGGGATCAAGTCAATTGGACATTTTTGCAGTGAAGTATGGAAAAAATAGGAGTAGGCCCCAACATTCGAAGCTGATCTGAAGTTGTACGGTAATGCTCAGTCCGGGTCAATGGATTTCTATCTTAAACCACCAGTACTTCCTAAAGTCGTGCCCGTTAACGCTACACAATTTCATTTTAGGAAACGTACGGCCCACTACAGGAGCGCCCAAATTCATCCAACTAGAAACGTTTCTACTCTATTTTTTTCCGCGGCCGATAGCTGGGCCAAGTACTGTGTGGTTTAAGCCACCAGTACCTACCGCTTTTTTAGCCGTTAACGCGGAGGCTGAATCTGTACGCCGCGCGGGTCCATATGCATTTGCATCAGAGTGGGCCTAAGACCCCCTGGGGTACTGGTGGTTTAAGTACACCCGGGCCTGCAGGTGGCTTACTGTGCGCCAAGTTTTTCCAAACTGGCAGCGGTGCATTTTTTGGCTTTTCTGGCTGGAGCCGCCAGCCAGTGTGGTCCCGAAGGCCGAGCCTCAAAATTTTTTGTAGGCGACGAGTTTCTTCTTCAGCAAGGCTGGGGCCGTGTACTGGCGGCTTAACCATATCAAATGATTCAAATGTCTCGTTCAGGCAAACAAGGTGACCCTTTCTTTGGCAGCTCCAATTTTCCTTTTCATTGTGGAGACAATAGCTAACTTCCTAAGAAAGGTCCCCCCCATACAAAGTTTGATTGCTCCTCAGGACCAGCAAGGACATATAAATGATATAATTACAATTCCAATTAATATCTTGTTTGTGGGCCCACCATCCCTTGTGTATACCATTTTTTTTTATTTTTTAGGTGCAGTTTGTAGAAAAAACATAGAACCTTTGCTGTCAATGCGTCACCGTTTCTTTTGCTCTCCTTGATTTCTGAAACTTGGACCATTTTCTCGTAAAAAAAAAAAAAAAAAAAAAAAAAAACTTGGACCATTTTAAAGTTTAAACTGTTTTCAATTTCTATTCAGGGAGGGTTGTTTGTTGAGGATTCCCCGCCTCTCCCTTGTGTGTGCGTAATCAAATGAGCAGTCTTTTTTGAAACAAAAGATTTTTTTATTTTTTTGGGGGGAGCATTTCTAATTTTGAATGTTCTATATTTGCGCGCGTCACCCTTGCACAGGGCTATGTTCGCCTTCTCTGTATAGTTCCAATCTTGATGTGTTTAAACCACCAGTTACTTCCCATAAGCGGTTAACAGGGACCCCCACTTATCAGCCCCAGTTAACCCCCGAAGCTTACTTTTCCCGACGGAGATTTCCCCTTGCTGCTGCACGCCAACCAAAACGAACTGGGGTGCGGTGTTTTCTTTTTCCTTTGCCTGGCGCTCGCAATCATTTCGGTCTGGCAGGCTGGCCCTCGAAGGATGCGGTGCATTTATTTCTTTTTCCTTTTCCTCTGAAGTGCCGTTGTCCGTTTGCTGCGCAGTTTGGCCTTGTCCTGCGTGTTTCGAAGTGCCTAAGTCTAGCACCTTGAAGATGTGCCAAACAGTCATTGCCTGTTGGTATGGAGTGCCTACAGCACTATGAGAGGGGCTGCTGTGTTTGGGTTTGGGATGCCTGTATCTCTTTTTTTTCCGGTAGTGATGGTGGCGCTACCTTGTTGTCTTGTGGCTCTCCTGCCTTGCTGCCTTCGTGTCCTCCTGCCTAGCTGTCTTGTCGCCTTGCTGCTTATCCTGCTCCCCTGCTGCTTATCTCGCACTTTTGTTGCCCTCCTGTCTTGCCACTATGCTGCATTTTGCTGCCCTGTGATTTGCCTTGCTGCCTTGCGGAGATGCATGCTTTGCTATGTTTGCGCATGCGCAACACGGTTTGAAGCTGGTTATGACTTGAGGCATTGTGACGCGATCCAGCAGTCTGCCAATGGTTCAGCCTCCTGATGGGTCCTTGAAAGTGTGACAACACAGTCGGTCACTACTCTTCCGTTTATCTGCATATGTGTGTGCCAAAGTGTCGTCTTTGGGAATAGTCCTGTCCGACTAAAGCTAATCT